GTGAAGAAACTCTTCCTGATGTCCAGCCTGAACTTCCCCTGGCACAGCTGGAGGCCATTTCCTCTCATCCTGTCCCTTGTTCCCTGGGAGCAGAGCCCGACTCCCCCCCGGCTCCCCCCTCCTGTCAGGGAGTTGTGGAGAGTGAGAAAAATCCCCCTGAGCCCCCTTTTCTCCAGGCTGAACAACCCCAGAATAATGACATGGCTATAATGACGGCCTTCCCAGAAAACAGCACTGGAGAGCTCTTAAATAAACACTTCCCATCTCCCAGGGCAAACCCAGGACAGCTCCTGAACGATGTGGAGGCCCAGCACTCCCCAGCCCAGCGAGCAGCACCTCGAGGGACACACCTGCCTCGGCAGGGACCTACCCAGGATGACTTCAGGGGCCCGGTAGTGCCTGGTGGAGACAATGGTGCTGTGGTGCTCGTGGTCAAACGTGGCGCTGCCAAAGTCCACCACCCTGATGGCCGTGCTCTTCACGCTCCGCTCGTCCCGCTTCTGCACAGGCAACAACGGGATCCGTGACCCAGGAGCTCCCAGACAGGTACTCAGGGCCTTTCCTTACACACCACAGGAGGGGAAAGCTTTGGGGGCCTCACAGCTCAGCCCCAAACAAGCTCCCACCACCAGCCAGCAACACCTGGGGTCCCCATGGCTCACTTCTCACTGCCTGAACACAGGCCCTGAGGGAGCCCCTGTCACCTGGGGCACGTCCCAGCTCCCCTCCCAGTCAGGGACACCAAGAACCCAAGAGCAGACCTGACCCCAGGCAGCGTGTTACCTTTTCCAGGTTGTAGGAGAGCTCATAGTCCGAGTTCACAAAGAGGATGTTCTCCGGCTTGAGGTCGGTGTGGGTGAGTTTATTGTCGTGCAGAACTGGGGAAGCAAAGAGAGTCGGGGTGATGGGGCAGGAGCAGAGCAAGGCTGCAGCCACAAAAAGCCATCATTGCTTCAGTTTGCTCATACTGGCACCACTTTAGCCCACATTTAGCACTGGGTGTGAACAGGCTGGCCCAGGCCAAGATGCTTCATCAGAAGCACAAAGACTTATTGTATTGATCACCAGAAGGTGAGGGGGGTGGATGCTGGAGTGCCCTAAGCTACTGCCAGCCCACAAGCCTAAGAAAACAAACAGGATTCACTCCCAGAGGGGCAGGAAGGCTCAGGCTCAGAAGAACAGCAAAAACTCGCTTGCTCTGGGCCACCAGTTGCACGAGTGTCCCGGTCCCTGGGAGCTGCACAGCTCTCCAGGTCAGCCCAGTGCAGCAGGGAGAGGAGCAGGGAGCACTTACACTTCACAGCCTGGCACACCTGGAAGGCCATGTGCCGTACTTGGTGGATGGGGTAAGGCAGGTAGTTGTTGTCCTTCAGGAAGTCAAAGGTGCTGAGCCCCAGCAGCTCAAAGGAGATGCACATGTGGCCATGGTAGTCAAACCAGTCAAACATCCTGACACAGAGACTGACAGAAACATTCCAGTTGGGACCAGCTCTGCAATGCCATCCCTGCGCCAGGCTCCTCCTTCCGCTGCTCAGTCTGTACCCCACGGCAAGGCAAGATGCCTCCAACACCAGCCAGGATCACATTCAGCCACACAGCACCAAGCACCTCTTCCATCCCACCCCTGGAACCAGCCCTTCCAGTCCAACACCAGGAGCACACTCACTTTGTGTTCTCGGGATCCTTCTCGTTGATTTTCTCCAGCACGTTGATTTCCAGCCGAGCAGCCTCTTTGTATTTCTCTACGTTTTTAATGATTTTGAGAGCAACACGTGCACCACCCCTGAGAGAGAAAGCACAGACTGAGCCCTGAGGAGGTCAGAAGGGCTGTGTCCTATGAAAGGGACCTTCTGACCAGCCTCCCCTGTGCAGCACAGCCTCCACCACCCTCGCTCGAGCAGGTGGCTGTTTTTAAGGGGTGTCCACCAAAGCTGTGCCTTTTCCCTCCCCACAAACAGCCCCAAAGCCTCTCCCGGCACACAGGTGACCCAAGAGGGTGAGTGCCCAGACCAGCAGAGGACAGTGCCCAGACCAGCAGATTGATTTTCCCCCCCAGGCTCCCACATTATGCCCGAAAGGCTCCACTGCCAGCTGCGGTCTCCCCTCTCCCCACGTACCTCCGGTGATCCATGCACTGCACCACTCTGCCGAACGTGCCTTCCCCCAGCGTGCTGATAATCTCATCTGGGAGGGAGAGAAGGAGAGGGAAGGAGCTGAGAGAGGGAGCAGCACCTGGCTGCAGCGATACACAGGGCAGAGGAGAATGCATTGCAACACCTAACCTGCACACAGCTGGAGAGACCGGAGCAGCGGAAGGCTGACACCGGCTGCACAAGGCAGCTGCCCTAATTCCCTGGCACTTCAGTAACAATACACAATATAAACGTAGCTTTTAACAAAAGGGGAAGGAAAAGGAGAGGGTTTCTCTTTAATAAACAATGAAAATAAAATGAAACAGAAAGATAAGACAGATCTGCGACTGCGATGGGAGCTTAACTAGAGAGCTAAATTATGTTACGATTTGGCTGTACATCTTTCTTGTAGCCAGTCGCCGACGCGATAGATCAGATGCCCCTCGTCGTCGTCCTCCACACTCTTGGCCCTTCTGCTGCTCTGTCGACTCCGCTGCTGGCCCAGGCAGACAGGGAATTCATCATTCACCAATCAGATTTTCAAACCAGCGCAGCAGCCAGCGTCAGCATTGGTTGGTTTGGAAATTCACATGGTTGTTTGAGGAGGGGTTGCAGGAGGAGATTCCCAGCCAATTCATACGGCACAGAGGAATATATAACGATAGGGATATTGCAAGGGAACATGTCAAGATACAACACACTAGCTCAGAAAAGAAAAAAAAAAACAGTTTCGCTTTTCGTTGTAGCAAAAAAGGAAAAAAAAAAAAAGTAAGGAAAAAAAAAGTAAAAAAAAAATAAAAATAAAAAAATAAGAAAAAAAAGAACCTACAAACAGCCCCACCCGAACCAGTGTGAGAGCAGAGCTGTCAGAGTGTGGGAGCCGAGGGGGCACGGAAGGGGCCGGCTGCTCTCGCTCCCACGGGGGCTCAGAGAGGAATAGCACCAGCCTTCGGGTCCTGGGGACCCCCTAAACATGCCAGAGGCCACAGGGAGGGGGCTCCCGGCAGCCCCACGGCCACCAAGGAGGAAGGGCAGTGGGAGGCAGGTGCCCAGAGGTCCTGCACAAGCCCAGGCTGCCCTCACAGGCACCCCCATCCCACTCCAACAACCGCCCACACAGCTTCCCCCAGCCCCGACACTCAGGGAAAGAGGAATTCAGAGATTCCAGAAGCAGCTCTAGGTAACAACAATCCATCCAAAACTGAGAGTTTACAGTGACTGCCTGGGGGGAAAGACGGACACCTCTTCTCAGACCCTCCCCCGAAGAAGCTGATCCTGGAAGGACTAACTTCCAGGAGAGAAGCAGAGCCCAACAGGGAACAGGGACAGCCTGGGATGAGGCAGATAAGAGGTTTATGCCAGAGAAGAGAGAATTCCTGCCTTCGGTTCCTCAGCTAGGTATCCCCACACCTGGGAGCAAGCGGCCCAGGAGACTTGGGACCTGAATCCAGCCCCCAATCCCCCCCCTGGACACACAGCCAGAACAGACCAGACAACACTGAGAGCTCCACACACAGAGCAGAGACCGTGTCTGGGGTCTAACAGAAGTGAACAGCAGAACAGACGAGAAGAGAAAGCCGGGGACACTGCCAGGAAGAGCCTGGGATGGTCGCTGCCTCCACCTGAGCTGAGTGCTCCAAAAGCTCTGCTCCTCCGCAAAGCCCCTCACACGACACCCCACGTCAGCTGAGCCCACCCAGGAGGATCTGCTCTGGAGAATCAGAGCCAGGGGCTTCCTGCCACAGCCCAAACCAAGGACCATGGGGACAAGCCAGCTGTCACAGGCTCTCTGGGACTGGGACCAGCTGAGCGTCGGCTGTTCGAGCCTCGCACAAATCCTGCCTGGCTGGGGCTCCTACACAGCTCTCCACGAGCGTCACCAAACGGGAGGAGCTGCAGCACCACCCCAGGGACACACCCCAGGGACACATCTGTCCTCCCACCTGAGCGGGCAACACTAAGAGAGAGGGTCTGAGCCCCCCGTGCCCAGCCGGCGCAGCGGGACGTGCGGGCAGGAACGCTCTGCACCGAAAACTTTCCTCCTGCACACACACACACACACACACACACACATACACACACAGTTCAAGCCGAGTCCGAGAGAGCGTTTAGAAAGTGAGTTTTCTACTTACCCAGCTCGGCACCTGGGAGAGAGAAAGGTTTACAGGGCAGGCCCAGCGAGAGCAGGATACTCACCGATGAGGAGCGGCTAAAGGACCGGCTGCGGCGCCGCCTCCGCCTGTGCTTACGCCGGCTGCTTTTGCAGCTGCGGTAGCTGCCCTCGCGGTCCCGGGAGCGCCGGTACTCGTAGGAGTCGGCGGTACTCGGGCTGTAGTAGCCGTCCGGCCCCGCTCCGCGGGCTGTAGTCGTTGCGCCGGTAGCTGTCACAGTAACGCCGGTCGTAGGCCCGCCGGTCTGCAGAGTGGTCGTCGTAGCTGAAGGAGAGACAAGGCGAGGATTGGGCTGGGAGGGACCTCGAGGATCGTCTAATCCCAACCCCCTGCGGGTTGCTCCTGGTTTTATCCAGCCTGGCTTTGAACACTTCCAGGGATGGGGCAGCCACGGCCTCCCCGTTCCAGTACCTCGCTACCCTCAAAGTAAAAAATTTCTTCCCTTCTTTCCATTTGTACCCGTTCCCCTTGTCCTGTCACTCCAGCTCCTGAGGAACACTCCCTCTCTGGTTTCCCTGTAGTCCCTTCAGACACTGGAAGGTGCTCTGAGGTCTCCACACAACCTTCTCTTCTCCAGCTGAACATTCCCAGCTCTCCCAGCCTGTCTCCAGAGGGGAGGGGCTCCAGTCCCCCTTATCAACTTTATGGTCTCCTCTGGATTTGCTCCAACAGTTCCATGTCCTTCTGATGTTGGGAACACTGCATGCAGTGCTCCAGATGTCTCACCAGAGCAGAGCAGAGGGGGAGAATCTCCTCCTTCCATACACCCAGTGACAGCAGCTCGGGGGGCAGCAGCAGTGGGAGTTCCGGGGGCTGGAACCCCAGGAGGCAAGAGGCTCTGAACTACCAACCCATGGCATAACAAAGGGCACAGGGAACTGTGTCCCAGCCAGGTGAGGGACACTCACAGACCTGCAGGAGTTGATGACCCCCACACTTTCCTGCACTGAGACTCTGAGGGGATAACAGAAGCCCTGGGGGTCCTTTGTTTGGGGTCCCTCCCCAGAGGCACCAGCTCCAGCTGTTATTTTGTTACTGCACCAAGATTATTTCAAGGCTCCAGAGGTCTGGGACTCTGCTATGGGAAACCTGGGGCTGAGCTGGTGAGGAAACTGGTCTGACTGGGAGTGGGGGGGGTACAGGGAGCTGCCACTGCAAAAGGGCCTCAGTCCCAGCTCAGGTGGTGGAGTGGGATTGCTGGAGTGGCTCCTGGATGGTTGGACAGGGAAGTTTCCCTAAGAGGGGAGCAAGATGAGGGGGTTTGGTCACGAGCATGGCCTAGAATGCTCAGAGCAGGGCCCAGGTCGCACAGGAGCTGGGTGACCATGGCTGACCAGGCCCAGCTGGAGAAACAAAGATGATGAAGGGACTGGAGCATCCCTCTTATGAGGAGAGACTGTGGGAGCTGGGCCTGGTTAGTCTGGAGAAGAGAGGATCTCATCAGTGCATATAAATATCTCCAAGGCACGTGTCAGGATGGTGCCAGGCTGTTCAGAGGTGCCCAGTGACAGCATGAGGAGCAATGGCCATAAACTAAACCACAAGAAGGTCCACCTCAACATGAGGAAGAACCACGAGATTAACCCAGTTGGTGTTAACAGTGCCAAGGTTGTGGGTTCAACCCCAGTGTGAGCCATTCACTTAAGAGCTGGACTTGATGGTCCTTGTGGCTCAGAATGTTCTGTGTTTCTGTGAAGAACAAGGCTGGAAGAGCTGCCCAGGGAGGGCACGGAGTCTCCCTTTCTGGAGACATCCCAAACCCACCCGGTTGGGGTTTCTCTGCGCTCTGGGTGACCCCGCCTTGGAAGGGGGTTGGCCTGGGTGATCTCCAGCGGTCCCCCCAACCCAGCCGGGGTGCAGGAGGGCAGATCCGAGCCCGGCTCACCTCCGGGATCGGACGTGGTAACTGTCCTCCCTCCGGTGCCGCCGGTCCCGCTCGCTGCTGCTCGACCGCGACCGCGTCCGCCGCCGCTTGTGCTTGCGGCTCCGGTAGCGCTCGTGGTAACTGCCGCGGCTTGCTTGCGCTAGCCGCACGGAGCGGTACTTCGGGCAGTGAGGATCTGGGCGGACCGCAGGGACCCGTCAGGCGACCAGGGACCAGTGGGACACCATCAGGCATCCAGGCAGCGGGGACCCATCAGGCACCAGGCAGTGGGGACGCCTGTCAGGCTCCAGGGACATGGGACGCCTGTCAAGCACCCAGGGACAGCGGGGCGGACCCGCCAGGCACCAAAGGGACAGCGGGACCCCCGTCAGGTACCAAGGCAGCGGGGACCCCCGTAGGTGCCCAGCGACACGCCGAGGACCGCCGTCATGCCCAGGCAGCGGGACACCCATCAGGTGCCCAGGGACAGCCGGGACCCCCTCACGGCACCCAGGGACAAGTGTTGACCCCTCACGGCAGCCAGGGGACAGTGGGGCCCCCTCAGGCACCCAGGGACAGTGGGGACCCCGCCAAGCATCTCTGGGGACAGCGGGAGCTGCTGCGTGGGACAGGGACGGGTTCAGCAGGGACCACGACACCCGGTTCAGCAGTACACTCGAGTGTCCAGAGTTCTGAGAGTGTTCTTTGGAGTCTCCAGGGGATTTTGGGGTCCCCCAGGTGTATTTTGAGGTCCCTGACCCCCCTTTTCTCCCCACAACACCCTGAACATGCAGGGGAATCGGTCTGAGAGCGAAGCGGAGTCGCTGTCGGTGCAGACGTGCAAGAGAGAGGGGGACAAGAATGTGAGTGACCAAAATCACCCCAAAACCAACCCTGGCACCCCCAAATTCCTCCGAACCACCCAAAAATCCCCCCAAAATCCCTCTGAAATCAACCCTGATGCCCCAAAATTCCAACCCTACATTGCCCCAAATCATCCCAAACCCCTTCAAATCCCCCCAAATCCCACATCCATCTGCTGGGCATGGATGACTCCCATTCCCAGGGATCCTGCTTCATTCCCAGGGACTCCTGCTCCTGTTTTTCCCATTTTCCTTGAGAATCAGATTGGGATCAAGGCCTTGAAGCAGCACATCCACATCCTTATTTCTCTGTAACTATTTTTAGGGATCAGGATGGATTTTATCCCCAACTTTGCCTTTATTTTTCCCATTTATCCAGGGTGTTGCCCTGGGACTCCCCCTCTTCCCTGCTCCTATTCCCCATCCCATTCCCACATTCCTGTTTTTCCCCCAGAAGCAGGACTGGATCGAGATTCTGAAGTGGCACTTGGGAAACACCCATATCCCTCCCCATTAACCATGTTTCAGAATGAGGACAGATCTCCTATTCCTGACCTTTTCCCTGACCCCGTTTCTGTGGATTTTCCCATTTTTCCTGTGGTTTTCCCCCCCCATTCAGGTTGGGATTGAGGCCCTGAAGCAGCACCAGTGTCACATCCATGTGTTGGGGATGAATCCTGGAGAAGGATCCCAGTTTCCCCTGGCTCCCTGACACCATCTTTTCCCATTTTTCCATGTTTTCCCCCAGGAACAGGACTGGATCAAGGCCCATGGATCCTTGACCCCACTCCCAGGGATCCCCCTGGGGGAGAAGAACTTTTCGGAGATCCCAGAGCCCCCTAAAACAAGATGGGACCCCCCAGAGGAGCTGTGCTTGCTGTGTATGGGAGAGGTTCAGTCATGGGAAAACAACTCTTTCCCACTTAGGTAGAAAATAAAAGTTTTGGGTTTTTTTTTAAGATCTAATTGAAATATCTATTTCGATAAATCCTCCTATAATTTTTATTTTGACTTTTACATGTCTCAGAAGCCAAAAAAAAAACAAACAAAAACCATTTTGTCAATGCTGCCAAGTGCTATATAACACTTGAGTGGCACGAGAAGACTGGAACTAGTTCTGCGTATTAATCGAATCTTTTCCAGGTTACTTCCCCCTGTTTGCACCCATCTCTAAAGTCCACAGCTCCAGGAGGAGTATTTGCACCTCCAGGGCTTCCACCTTCTCCCCTTAAGCTCCTGTGCTCCCCAGGGAGGAGGGAACCACCCCCGAGGAAGGTGAAATGAAGCCCTGGATGTCACCAAAGTCCCTGTGCAGCAGTAACAGGAACACCCACAGGGGCAACTCCTCAGGAGATGCCTCTGGTTTGGTGCCAAGCAGGTGACATCCACACCTGGGGGGGACAGGGCACCTGGGCAGGGAAGAGTCTGGAGGGGCCACATGAGGAGCAGCTGAGAGCACTGGAGAAGCTGAGGGGAGACCTCAGGGGGCTGCAGCTTCCTCAGGAGGGGCAGCTCTGACCTCTGCTCCGTGTGAGCAGGGACAGGACCTGGGGAAGCAGCTGGAGCTGTGTCAGGGCAGGGTCAGGTTGGATATTAGGAAAATTCTTCCCCCAGAGGGTGGCTGGGCACTGACCAGGCTCCCCAGGGCAGTGGGCACGTCCCCAAGGCTGTCAGAGCTCAAGGGGCATTTGGAGAATGCTCTGAGGGACAGGGTGGGATTGTTGGGGTGTCTGCGCAGGACCGGGAGTTGGATTTGGAGGATCCCCTTCCATGGTACAATTCCCTGTGCCTGTGGGAAGTGCCCAGGAGCAAACCCACCCTTCCCAGTGCACATTAACAGAGCCCTGCAAACCCCCGGCTCTGCCCTGGGGGACCACGAGAGGTCAGAGCCAAGGAGACCCCCGGGGGGAGATGGCACAGCTCCAGCTCTCACACATTCCCCACACGTATTTCAGCTCCCCAAGCAAGAGCAGCTCCACCTGCCTCGGCTCCGCAGGCACGAATCAGGGAATCATGGAATGTTAAAGGGCTGGGAGGGCCCTCAAAGCTCGCCCAGTCCCACCCCCTTCCACGGGCAGGGGACACCTTGCACCAGGCCGGTTTGCTCTGAGCTGGCCTTGGACACTTCCAGGGATGGGGCATCCGTGGAATGACCCGTGCCAGG